CCTGGAGCGTCCGGTGCAGCTTCGCGGCCTCCTGGCAGCGGTGGGCTTCGCGGCTTCGCGGGGTCCGCCCGGGCCTCGGGGGGCCGTCCCTGGCGGGCAGCGCGGGCCTTCTGCAGGTCAGCGCGGAGCTACGGGAGCTCCGCACCGGCTGCCAGCTGCCCCTCAGGAGCCGCCAATTATGCGGAACTCCCTCGCTTCGCTCATCCGGCCAAAAGCCCAAGGGGGAATCAATTTGGAAGAGGTTGAGGAGGAGGAGGAGGAGGAGGAGGAGGAGGAGGAGGAGGAGGAGGAGGGGGAGGAGGGGCGCGGATCTCGACCATCCCTGCTCGACTCGACGACGCGAACCGAAGGGTCGCCAGGTGCACCAGGGAAAGCTTCGCAGACCGACCTTCATTTGGCAAGCTCGTGCAGCACACAGTGGCCTGTGAGAACGGGGAGGGGGAGGTGGGATCGAGGCTCAAGGAGGAGGACGAGGACGAGGAGGAGTAGGAGTAGGAGGAGCAGGAGGAGGAGGAGGAGGAGGAGGAGGAGGAGGAGCAGGAGAAGGAGCAGGAGGAGGAGGAGGGAGGGCTCAGATTCCTGGGCATGATCTGCTGGTCTCCCGAGCAGCTCTCTTGTCGCCTCGGCCGCACCCCCCTCCCGAGATGCTGGCCAGACGGCGCCCCAGGACGGGCCTGGGGATCGTTTCGGGAGAGAGGGGAAGACTCCAGCGGACTCTGAAAACATTCGCCAGCGCAAACTCCAAATAGATCAGAAGACTAAACTGAGCTGGACTCCTCTGCTTTGCTCTCGTCTGTCCGGCTCTACTCTAACATCTACCCTACGCTACTCTACTCTACTCTACCCGTCTCTACTCTACTCTATCCGACCCGAACCTGCCATGCCCTACTCTACTCTTATATACTCCTGCTCATATTCCGATCCATATTCCAGATTGTGAAATATCCCACATTTGTCCACTTAGCCGTCTGTTAGGGACCTAATCTCAGTAGCCCCATCCTACCCGTCAAACAATGTTAGCCAGCGTGGGCCAAAAACAGTGTGTTCCTAACATATATATATATATATATACAGTGTGCGACGAATGTGAATAACATATTCACGTGCGATCAGCTTGGTGGAAATATGCGGTGCAATCGATGTGGCGCAATCTATGTGGTGCGATTCGTTTTCATAAACGAGATGTCACATTCCATGCTCTTGCAAACTTCCCACCCACCCACCCGCAACTTGGATTGCAAAACCCATGCGGCGGCGATTGCGATGAGTGCTTGGCGCTGACTGGTGCAACTCTACGGCGGCGCTGGCCCGCGCATGCTCGCGCGCACGGCGGCCAGCTAGTTTGGCGCGACCGGCGCGGCCGCGGTGGCGCTGACCGCTGGGCACTTCCCAGCGTGCACTTCAGTGCGAATCGGTGACTTGGGCAGGCGCGGCATCATGGCAACGCTGACAACGGTAGAAATCATTATGAGAGTAGCAATGATGGCAACGATGGTGGCGATGACGACGGCAAGGCCGATGACGGCGACGATGTTGATCACGCCCGCCGATAACGATGACGACGCCCTCGCGTCGGCGATGCCAATTTTTGAAGGAGTTCGACATGCGAGCGCGGTCGACGCGCGCGAGTGGCCCGCGTGGTCGTATGTGACACGGATCGTGCCCCCCCCCCGCAAGCACGCGCGCAAGGGCGTTCGAATGAGTTCGACATGCGGTGCGAGAGGCCGCACGAGTAGGGCAGCAGGTAATGAACATGTTGAACAACCGATGGTTTTCGTTAGAATCCGCAAGACCACGAGCGCAAGTCTTTTTTTGTTAGCAAAAAGAGGGTGTTGCAAAGCCATGCGTGTATTAGATGTTTCCGGGGCACTCGCTTCCAAATATTTTCGGGCGCCCGGGTCTTTGAAGGATTTCGGCATGGCGGAGCGACGACGCGCGCGTGCGCACTTCGTCCTTTTCGTTGCAAGGGGTTCTTGCGACAGCACGCGCGCAAGGGCGATCGAGCGATCTCGACATGCGCGCACGAGAGGCCCGTTTGGTGGCATTTCATGAGAATGCTGCAAGTTGATGTTTTCCTGGGGAATTCGCAAGGGCGCGCACGCAGGCCCTTGTCGAAAGCCATGTTTGCGAAACCCTGTGTTGTTTTTCCACGTTTCCGGAGCAATCAATTTTGAAATCCTGACGAGACCTGAAACTGTTTTGGACAGATTTCGGCATGCGCGCGCGACGACGCCCGCGAGCGAACTCCGTCACATGCTTCGCAAGGGACTCTGGCAACAAATAATAGTTGACGAACGGGTGCGCGCGCATGGTTTTGTAAAGCCATGTGTTGTTGCAAAGCCATGTGTTCCTACGTGTTTCGGGACATTCGTTTTTGGCATCCTTGCGAAACCTGGAATTTGTGTGAAGGAGTTCAGCATGCGCGCGCGACGACGCGCGCGTGTGCACCTCGTCCTTTTCTTTGCAATTGAGTCCTGCGCTAGCACGCGCGCAAGGGCGATCGAACGATTTCGATATGCGCTCGCGCGAGGAGGCCAGTTCAGTAGCGTTTTATGGAACAGTTGAACACCCAAAGTTAACAAAACAAATCGCAAGAACGCGGACGTAGGTTTCGGTTTTGGGGGGAAACCGATGTTGCAAAACCACATGGTTCACCCGTTCTCGGGACTATGGATTTTGAAACCCTTGCGAAAGGATTTCGGCATGCGCGCCCTCGCGTCGACGCGCGGATGTGCACATCGCCCCATTGTGAGCAAGGGATTTCAGGGACAAAAATGATTTTTGATAAACGAGAGCGCGCATCGAATTCTGTTGCAGAGGATGAGGGGGTTGCGAACTCATGGTCTGGCTGGGAGTGTACGAGTTCCTATTTCGGATGGACACTGAGGCAAAATCGTACGCAAATTGCTATACATTTTTGTTGGTCTGTGGGTCGAGAGCGAACCTCTTCCGGATAAGAGCTAGGCGGGGCGCGCAAAGCACTAATTGGGGAGACAGGGCGCGGGCGGGCGGGGCCTCGCAGATTGCAATACACAACAAAAGGTGTACCATGGGGTTGGATGTTTGTCGAGAGCGGGTCAAAGGCAGCAACGCGTGGCGACGGCGGCGACGGGGCGGCGACGGGGCGGCGACGGGGCGGCGACGGGGCGGCGACGGAGCGGCGACGGCGGCAACACGGCCGCCGGACCGACACGCAGGCTCAGCTGCGGGCGGCGACGAGGCAGCGACGGCGGCAACATAGCCGCCCGACCGATCGACGGGCCCAGCTGCGGGCGGCGACGAGGCGGCGACGGGGCGGCGACGGCGGCCTCCTGCCAAACCGGCACACAGGCATGGTTACGGGCGGCGACGAGGCGAGCAACGGCGGCAACAAAGCCGACAGTCCGACAGACAGGCTCAAACACCTAGAACCTTGAAGAAGAAAAAATCGTTAAGTGCAAGCACTGTTTGGGAACAAAAGACTCGGGCCCAGACTGCGAGGCATGAGGTCCGATCGCCTTTGCCCCAGGAGTTGCAGCAATAGCGACAACAGGTGGACGGAGAGCAAGGAACTGGGACACACCTCCTCGGAGGCACCCCGGAGGATGCGTTAGGAGGCAATTTCTGTTTGGGCGACTAAGGGCTATGGGGCTGAGCCCGATTAAACTATATGGAGCGGGACTGGGCAACACCAGGCGGGAATAGTTCAGACTAGGCGGGAATATGCTAGCGCCTGTGCTGAGCTTCACCTACCAAGAACCGCATCCTAAGATGAGCATGCCAAGAAGGCAATGCGTGGTCAACTGAACACGTTGGCAAAATGCGACTGTCCGGGCATTCCTACTGTCCCGCCATATTGAGCAAGGACCGACCGTCCTGACATTCCTATAGGCCTACCACGACATGTTCCTAGAACCCACAAGTGTTCAAACAACAAAAAGCAATGCTCTTAGAACCATATGCGTTGAAACAAAAAAGTCTCAGCCAGAAATGTTATGATAATATTTCGTGCATACCTCAAAAGGTCATTATAACATTCTTTGGTGGACCTATGGGCGAGCCAAGATGCTTCGCCACTGCTTGGACACCCACGATCGTGCTCCGCCCGCCGCGAGGACACCCGGCTGACCTGCTCCTCTGCACAGCCCTCTGGGCCAAGAGCAGGTCTCTCCTCCAAGGGACGAGCCTGGGATCTCGCGGCGGACTCCGACCGCCCTCGGCCGAGCACCCCGCCCACATCCGACCCTGCCCCTCGGACGTGCAAGGATGCACGGCCGGGAGTGGCTCGTGCACCCAAACCCTGCAGCATGGACGACAGGCGAGGGCGCACGGTCCTCTGACGCACACACACACACACACATGCTGAGAAAACTCGGGCGCACATGCGATGACATGCCGCGTGACGGCTACTTTTTCGGACGCCCGAAATGGGTACGGAAAAATTTGGGTACAATGCCCAACAACAAATATTATCCCAAACCAAGAGCGGCCGCTGTTGGGAAGGCGACCTTCTGTCTCAAATGGACACAGGCCGCGGCGGCGCGGACAGCGAGTCCTGTTCAAAATGAACAGGAACTGCTGTTGGGCATTGTACCCATTCTTTCCGTGCCCATTTCGTTCGTGCAGAACTTTGAAAGCAGCGCAAGGAACCGAGCCCCTGTGGGTGCCACGATGCACTTACCAGCCGCCCGAATCGACACAACGGATCCGCGAGCGCTGAGACTTGAGGAGCGCCGAGGGGGCTCGCCACCAAACGGGCAGCGGAGAGCACGCAAACCGCTACACCCACAGGACCGCTCCTGACCTCGAGCTCGACCTGCCTTCGACGAAGTGGGCTCACCGCGGCCAGCAAGGCTTGACGAGGACTGGCCGAGGAGGAGGGACTCAGTGGCCGGCCCGGGGAGGTCCTGCTCCTCCTCCTCCCCCCCTTTCCTCCTCCTCCTCCTCCTCCTCCTCCTCCTCCTCCTCGTCCTCCTCGTCGTCCTCTCCATCCTCCCCTGCTGGTGGGTGTTCACTTCGGCGCCGCGCTCTTTGCTTTTCCCGATCGCCCGCGGCGGCAGCGTGCTCACCCAGCTGGTCAGTCAAGGTCTCACGAGCGGGCCTGGGCAGGCCGAAGGGCGAGGCGAAGGTCCCGCGAGAATAGAATAAAAACGCGCGTCGCCGCGAGCAGCAAGAGCGGACAGAACGCCGACGGAGATGCGAGGGCTAAGTCGGGCGTGTCCCCCTACAAGCGGATTCTGGACGAATGCTAAAAAATCGCCAAAAAAAATATGCAAACCTTCTCACACATAGAGAAATCGTCTCCATCATATATTTGACTATTTTCGAATTTTCCTCCTGCAGAAGGACAAGCCAGACTTAAAGCGAGGGGGGGGGGAGGATGGGCAGACCTTGGCCAGGCCCTGGTGCAGAAGAGGAAAAAACGCCATGAACATACACTGTTGGCGCTCCGCGTGGATTTCCTAGATCTGCGCTGGGCCCCCCCCCCCCCCCCCCCGGCGGCGCCTCCGGCGCCGCACCTGGCGCGCGGAGCGCGCCAGGGAGGGAGGTCCAGCGCAGGTCCAAGATATCCGCGAGGAGCGCCAAAAGTTTATGTTTATGGCGTTTTCTCTTCTTCGATGGTGGACGGGGGGGAGAGAGGAGGGGGTCGACGGAGAGGAGGAGGAGGAGGAAGAGGAGGAGGAGGAGAGGAGCAGGAGGAAGAGAAGGAGGAAGAGGAGGAGGAGGAGGAGGAGGAGGAGGAGACACGCACGCCGGCGCGGGGCCAGCAAGGTGCCTCAAAGCCACTGAGCTCCTTGCAGGCTCGCGATGCGCGGACGGGCGGCCAGGCGCGCCGCTCGTGAAGCAGAGCGCGCCGCTCGTCGAGGCCCGACGCGCACAGGCAATGAGGGCCCGGTGCCCGCCGACGACAGGGGACGAGGAGAACCAGAGTAGACCCAGGAAGCACCAGCGGTGCTGCAGTGCACCCTCCCGCCCCAAGTCTCCTCAAAAGTCCCAGCAAGCTCGCCTCTTCACGGCAAGAGGCGCCGCCTCCGAAAGGCGAGCACCCCCTGCGGGCCTGCCATGCAGGGCAGGAATGTCCCTCTCTGCAGCGGAGCTGACGTGCAAGTGCCTGGCAGGCTCTGCGGAGGGCGAACAGCTGGGAGCAACACGTTTGGCGAGGCGTCATCAAATCTGGTAGAGTGTCCAGCGAGGGCCCCGCCTTGGACAGGAAAACCGCCCCCGCTCCCCCCGTGCCGCCATCCCCGCGCAGCGCCCCCGGAGAGCTCCCGACGCCCCCTGCCGGGACGAGTGTTGCACCGCGTTTTGCTCACTGCTCTGGGGCCCGAGTGGGAGCTGTGTGCCACAGCGATTGGGAAATAATAATCGTAATAATGATAATGGTAATAATATTTGCAATAAAATTATTATTATTATTATTATTATTATTATTATTAATAATAAAAATAATAATAGTAATAATAATAATAATAATAATAATAGCAATACTAATAATACGGATACTATTAATGATAATAATACTATTAGTAATGATAAATATAATACTACTAATACTAATGATAATGATAATAATAATAATAGTAATAATAATGATGATGATCATGATCAGCATCATCATCATTATCATCATCATCAGCATCACCATCACCATCATCATCATCATCATCACCACCATCATCATCAGAAGCATCAGCATCATCATCATCATCATCATCATCATCATCATCATCATCATCATCAGCAGCAGCAGCAGCAGCAGCAGCAGCAGCATCATCAACCTCATCATCATCATCAGCAGCAGCATCAGCAGCAGCAGCAGCATCAGCGAGCCGCTGCCTGCGCTGTCCGCGTGGGGTGCGGGCGGCCTCGGCCCTCCATCCCAAAAAAAACAGCACTCCGCATCCTGGGGGGCGGTCTGGCCAAGCGGTCGTGGCCACAGGGGGGGCGCCCAGGCAGGCGCAACTCCCACCAGCAAACATCCTCGCCCCCCCCCCCCCCTCCTCCCCCCTTCAAGCAGGGAGACGTGGGCAGAGAGGGAGAGACACAGAGACAGAAAGAGAGAGAGAGAGAGGGAGCGAGAGAACGGGGAACACGCCAAGGCTGCAAATGTTTTAATTTGACAGGCAACCGCGTGCTCGAATTCAGTGTCACAAGAGCTCGCGCGACAGCTGGGAAGCCATCGTCACAGCCACACGTCCAGTCCTCCTCCTGCTCCTCCCACCATCCCTCCTTCTGCTTCTTCTCCTCCTCCTGCTGCCCATCCTCTTCATGCTGCCCATCCCCCCTTCTCCACCTTCCTCTCGTCCCCCTCCCCATCCACCTTCTCGTTCTCCTCCTCCTAACCCCGCCGCCGCATTCTTCTCCGCCTCCCTCCTCCTTACCCCCCTTCTCCTGCTTATCCCCCCTTCCCCACACACCCCTCCCGCTCCTCTATCCTCCTTGCCCTCCTCATCCACATCCTCCTTCCCCCTCCTCGCCTCCGCACCCCCCTCCTCACCCTCGTCCGCCTCAAGCTCTTCTTCCACATCCTCTCCCTCCGCCTCCCTGTTCCTCCTCCTGCTCATGCAGCACTGCCCCCCCCCAAACAAAAAACCTCTCCGGAGGCACATCTGGCTGGGATCCCGAGGCGGCTCCCGCCGCGGCTGACGACAAAGCCTCCGCTCCGCAGCAGACCCCCCCACCCAAAATGAAACAAAAAACAACACCCTCAAGCTCGCCCCTACTCAAGATCTCCAGGCCCTAGGTAATGCCAATTTCGGTGATGTGCCCGCAGACGCTAGGCCTGCAGATCGACGCCGAGATAAAAGGCGATGCTAATCTCGGTGATGGGGAGTTCCGGGCCAGGGGGGGGGGCGGCGCGCTGCTGTGCATGGTCAACGCGCACATCCTGGCCGACCCTGGAGGGGAATGGGGAGGACGAGGAGCAGGAGGAGCGGGAGGAGGATGAGAGGGAAGGTGAGGGGAGGGAGAGGAAGGAGGGAGCCTCAGGATGGGGGAGGAGGGCGGGGACGAGGAGCGGGAGGGGCTCCAGGCCCGTAAAATCATCACGACTCCAATCCTCCCCCGCCCTCTTCCCGAACCACCATCCGTCCCCCCATTCGTCCCCCCGCCCCGCACGCGCAGAAGCGCGGGCATGCGCGGGGATGAGGGTGGAGGGCGACATGATAGAAGGGGGGGAAAGGGGGATAAGAGCAGGAGGAGGAGGAGGAGGAGGGAGAAGGGTTGGAGGAGGATCAGGAGGAGGAGGAAGAGAAGTGAGGACAGGTGTAAAACCATGACGCATCGACGAGATGCACTAAACCCCCTTTCAAGCTCTCTTCCCATTGGTCCGGGAAGTAGCCCATTAAAAGACAATCGTCTGATAATTCGCAATCGTGCCAAAACACCGCTCCGCCGACTTCAACGCCACTGGTCAACGCGACTGTTGTCCTGACACTTCTTCACCGTGCCAGATCACCATTCCTGGTACGTCAGAGACGCGAATCACTGTAACCGTTGCGTCCTGACAACCCCAAACCGTGCCAGAACACCATTACTGTGATTTCTTTCGACCATACGACTCGCTGAAACTGCTGAAAGATTTCATGACGAATGTGCGCAGCGCTAAAGGGAGAATCACATGTTCCCCCAATCAGTGTTTGCACTCAGGGTTTCGTATTCTGTTCTGAGGAGCTGGACCTGGCGGCTATGTTGTCGCTGTCGCCGCCCCGTCGCCTGCAAGTCGTCTGGGCCCGACTGCTGGTCTGGCGGCTACGTTGCCGCCGTCGCCGCCCCGTCGCCGCCTCGTCGCCGCCCGTCGTCTGGGCCTGACCGCCAGTCTGGCCACCAAAATGTCGCCGTCGCCGCCCCCCAAAATGTCGACGTCGCCGCCCTGTCGCCGATTAAATTACACAGCGTAGATTGCACCGAATATGTTGCACAGCATAGGTAGCAAAACATAGATCGCGCCACGTATATTGCACCACGTAGATTGCACAACATAGATTGCGCAACATAGATTGCACAACGCAGATTGCACCATGAGATTGCACCGAGTAGATTGCAGTACATTTACTGCGCCACATACATTGCACCACGTAGATAGCACAACATCGCAAACAATTCACGCTTACCGAAATTATGCCCCGCATAGATCGCTACACACACAAACTGGTTGGGATCCACGCTGGCTATCATGAGCGGAAGGGAGCGCACTCCATCCGTGAAGCTACTACTCCATCCGTGAAACTGCTACAACCTTTTGAAACAGATGCGCACAACGTTAAGGCGAGAGCCTCATTTCGAAAACGACCCGCCCCCATCTGCGAAACGGTTGCCAACTTTCAAGACGCACGAGCGCGTCGCTAAAGCGAGAACCACACTTTGAGAACGACCCGCCCTCCACCCGTGAATCTGCTAGACATTTCCACCGCCCGCAGCATGTTTGGTGGGAGAGCTTCCCGCGAGACGCCGGGGCCCACCCTGCCGACACCTCCTGGGCGGCGGCAGGAAGGAACCATTCCCCACGCAGCTTTTGCACTCAGGGGCTCCTGCTTCTTCTGGAAAAAGACTTTCCACGCCTTCTTTTGCCCCACCTTCTGCTAATTAAGGCTGCGCGTGGCCCGCTTAGCTCCTATCGGAAGAGGTTCGCTCTCGACCCGCGGATCAAAACATTGTGTAAAAGGGACTGGGCCCGCGCGTCGCCCTTTCGCCAGCCTGCCGTCGTCCCTTTCGCCACCCCGTCTTGCCGTCGCTCGGACGTCCATTTCCCGTGCATGTTTGGGTTTTGTGCGTGTTTTTTTTGGGCTCGATGGTCCAGAATAATCCTGGATGGTTCTCGCCGAGAAAAAATGCACATGTCCGAGCGATGCCAAGCCGTCGACGGTCGTCGCCGCCCCGTCGCCGCCTCGTCGGGGGCTCGTGCGCCGCCCTGGCCGGAGCGTCGTCGACCCGTCGCCGCCCCGTCGCGGCTCGTCGCCGCCCCGTCGCCGCCCCGTCGCCGCCCGTCGCCGCCTCGTCGCCGCGCCAAAGGAAACAAACAAAACAACACATGTTCGCAAACGTGGCCTCCAAAACGGCTGAGTTCGCACGACACAGATGATACCGCATAGCTTACACCACACTGATTGTACCATATATATATATATATATCGGAGGTTGGGGGGTGAGATCGCAGTGTAACGGGGTCCCCCCACCGGGAAATCGAGTTTCGAGTTCGTGCTCGTGCCGTGCGTGCGGGCGAGGCGAAGCTGCGTGGGCCAGCGAGAGGAATTCACCCTGCTGTCGCTAGGGGTCCGCCAACACAAATGTTTCCCCCCCAGGCCTTGTCAAGCGGTAGCCCACGTTGTCCCGTCGGTTGCCCGCCGGTTGCTCATCATGGTTGCTCATCGTCGACTGGGACGTCGTGAGCTGAGTGCCGCGTCGCGCAGCGGCAAGCCGAACGACACAAGTCGCCAAAGCGAAGGAACAAAAAAAATCCGCCACGTCATCCACACCATCATCGCCCATCAGCACCACGTTCATCACAGTTGTCGTCATGAGCCACCCCCCTCCCCTCACCCCCCCACAACCTCCTTATCACCCGCAGGGTGGTCGTATAGGTGTATGTATATATATATATATATATATAGTGACCCCATAACTTGCACTGCGTAGCTCGCAGACGATAGATCACACCAGTCAGGTTGCACCACATAGCTGAAACCAAGTAGCTACACCACAAATGTACCACAACACTTTTTGCACCAGTTAGCTTGCACACTTAGCTTACGATACGTAGCTTACGCCACGAAAATCGCACCATTTGCTCACGCAGGCCGAAAGATTTTCCTCTTGAGCGCCAAATGTCGGAAGCGACGTGCTGTTCAGGCGAGCTGATTCATGTAGCGCTATCTTCGCCTTCGTGCATCCTCCTTTCTCCTTCCCCTTTTCCGTCCTAGGAAGGCCCCCCGCTCCCCCGTATAGTAATAGCTTTGGTCAGCAAAACCACAGTTCCGTGTGTAGCACGACGCTTCGGGTGCGCTGCCCAGCGGGCCCAGAATGTAAGTGTGATGATCTATATGTCTTCCCGGAATATGAACGGATCCATTGGTTGTGCACAAGTGGGATCCACGACACTGTCGCACACACGGGGAGGATCCAATTGGATCCATCAGTGTTCTCACATTCTTAGTTCAGGAGTGAAATTCTGTCGGCCTGACACGGGAAATCTGATCCGCACAAGCAAAAGTAGGATCCACGT